AAAAAAAAAAAAAAAAAAAAGGGAATTATGCAATAGGGGACATTTCACCTGATGGAAGCAAAGCCATCAGAGTTTCATGTTGGAGGGGTAGGTGTAGATATATTACCTTTCTTCGAGGCTTTCCTGCCTCCTGGAAAGTGAAGTGAGCTAATACCTTGTTCTCTGAATAGCAGTTCATAGAACCTATCTCTGTTGACATTAGCCTTTTCACTTTTCAGAACAACTTTGAGTGTGTGTTGGGGATACAAGCAATTTATGTCTATGTCTTGGTAATGGTTGCTAAGGTGGTTTCTAAGTAGGTTCTCTCTTTCCCTTTTGAAGTGAAGCCTTCTCCTTCCAAAAAGTTCCGGTCTGGTTCATCTTTCTCTCGGCGAGCAGGCTCCAGTGGCAACTCCTGCATTACTTACCAGCCATCAGTCTCTGGGGAACACAAGGAACAAGTGACAACAAAGGCGGAAGTGGAGCCAGGTCAGTGTTAGGGCTGGGGTCCCCATGTGATTGGTTACTCCGTCCCTTCCTTCTGAGCCCTTTCCTTGTCCGGCCAGGACCTTTCCTCCCCATTTCTTTCCAGGAAGCCAAGCTACTACATATTTTTCCCTACCCCATGTTCTCTTTCTTTTTCTCCAGGAGTTCATCTTGGCCGTCCTGATGTTTTACCTCAGACTCCACCTTTGGAGGAAATCAATGAGGGCTCACCTATTCCTGACCCCAGTTTCTCACCTGTAGTTGGAGAGACTTTGCAAATGCGAACTACAAGGTTGGTTTATTTGCCTCTTTCTTCGTGTAATCTTATCTCTCAAGTCCTTGGAAACCTTCGTAATTTGATTGCATCATAGTAAATTACCCCAAAGGTTAGTGGCTTAAAATAACCAACATATATCATACTTTCTATGGGTCAGGAATCCAGGCCCAGCTTAGCTGGGTCCTCTGGCTGAAGATTTCTCATGAAGTGGCATTTAAGCTGTTGGCCAGGGCTGGGGTCCCATCTGAAGGCTCAAATGGGAGGATCTGCTTCTAACTTATTTACGTGGTTACAGGTAGGATTCTGATCCTTGGGGGTTGCTGAACTGAGGGCCTTAGTTCCTTGCTGGCTGTTCTTTGTTACATGGACCTCTCCATAGGACAGCTCAGTACATGACAGCTGGCCTCTAACAGTGAACAAGAGAGCATGTGCCTATGCAGAAACCATAGCCTCTTATAGCGTAATCTCAGAATTGACATTCTACTTACTCCTTGTGCTACATTGTGTTCACTAAATGCAGCCTACACTCAAGAGGAATGAATTGCCTATGGATGTGAATACCAGGATGCCCAGGGATCATTGGGAGCCATCTTAGAAACTGCCTGTCATAGTCTGCCCTCTGGTCTCCAGTAGTTTACATACGTCCATGTCCAAAATACACTGACTCCCTCCCAAGGCCTCCCGAAGTCTCATCCCATTGTAGCATTAGCTCAAAGCCCAGAGTTTTATTGCCTAAATTAGGTCCAGGTTTGGATGAGCCCCCCCAGGTATAGTTCCTTAAGCACAGCTCCTCGAGTACAGTTCCTCTCAATCTGTGAAGCTGTGGAATTAAAGAGACAAGTATCCTTTCCCCATGTACCTAGCATACAATCATGAGACAGGCATTAGATAACGAATATACACATTTCTGTACATAAAAGGGGAGAATGGGAGGCACAAAAAGGAGTCATTAATTTAATTAGCGGTTCCAAAATCCAGAAAATGTTGGAGTTTCTCTTATCAGGTTTTAAAACAGAGGAATAATTCTCCATGGTTGTTGGCTCTACCCTCTAGACTGTTGGTTTTATCTTCTGAGTCTTCCTTTTTCTTTTCTTTTTTTGAGACGGAGTTTCACTCTTGTTACCCAGGCTGGAGTGCAATGGCGCGATCTCGGCTCACCGCAACCTCTGCCTCCTGGGTT